ACCATCATCATCATCATCACCATCATCATCCTCATCATCACCATCATCATCCTCATCCTCATCACCATCATCATCCTCATCACCATCATCCTCATCAACATCATCATCATCATCACCATCATCACCATCATCACCATCATCACCATCATCACCATCATCACCATCATCACCATCATCATCATCATCACCATCATCATCATCATCACCATCATCACCATCATCACCATCGTCATCATCATCACCATCATCATCCTCATCATCACCATCATCATCCTCATCCTCATCCTTCTCGTCATCTTTCTCGTCATCTTTCTCATACTTGCCTGCGTCATCGGCATCCCATCGTCTTTGCTGCCGTGGTTCTTCATTGTTGCCTTGGTGGTGGTGCTGGCGGTGCTGGTAGCAGCCTGGCGGTTGTTGATTTGACTTTTGCTGATGGCAGTGTTATAATGTTCTTGGTTTTGTCTTCAAAGTCCTTGGTGTCTGGCGGTTGTTTATTAGTCCTTTTCATCTGGTTTCATTGAAGAGTTGCTAGCTTGCTCATTGGTCGGTTTCAACGCCGCAGTATCGCACCTGCCTTTCCTTACGCCATGCTGCGTGATATAGAAAACTCGCTTCACAATGGACTGGATTAGATTGCATCTGGTTTCCAATTGCATTTCACACTGTGCGATATTTGGTTTCTAAATATATAAACTACACTCATATTACCAACACTGACACCTGCAAAATCTACAAACTAAAGCAACAGGCCCACAGCAGACCCCAAAAGACACACAGGCAATGCAACAGCGTCGGATTTCATCTCGTCACGCCATCTCATCACGCCATCTCATCACACAACTGCCAGATGCCGCATACCCAAACTTAGATTCATTGAAGCACACATAAGCAAGAAACCGTCAAACAACCCTCTCCCGCTGAAAATGCAAAGACAGGACAGTAAGTATGTGCAAAAAAACAATTGACGCATTGCGCAGAGTGAGCATGGAAGTCTTGGAAGCTTGGGGTCCAAGAAGTGCAAACATGTTCTTAGCAGTTCAAGGGCGTATTTGGGTTGAACTGTTTGCTGCAATCCTGACTTTTGCAGAATGAGTGACAGGGATTGGCACATCACTTCTTGACTTATTTTGCCATTTCGTGTCCCATCTTTCTGGAAGGCGAAGTTTCAAGTCAGAACCAACCTGGACCACGGAACATGTTGGACCTGGAGGAAGTCATTGCTATGAATGGGCATGTTGTGACATGTTATGAAATGTCCCAGATACAACTTTTGTCGCAATACATTGAATCAATACAAATACTAATTACCGCAGTATGATATGACCTGTATCAATAGCTGAAGAAGCCTGGCCGTTGCTTTTTACACATGTTCTGTTCCTTCCTTTGCACAATGGCCAACACAATGAACTTCAAGCTGCATGTCTTGCAGTACCAAAGAAGACTCCGCATGATCAGATACTTAAAAAACGAAAGCAAAACGAAGGAGGTACACCACCCGCGACCAAATGTGACAAAACCTTTGAGTCTCTGTCCTCGCCATCGGAAGACTCAGAAAGAACGCATTCTTCTTCTAGGTCATCGACCTTGGAAACTCTCGGTCTGAATTGAGCAAGGTCCAAACGAAATGCCCATCCTCGAAGAAGCAAAGCCGTACTTATCAAGAAAGAAGGATTTTGAAAAGTAAATTATACTGCAAACAGACATGTCACAAATGATACATGCCTGAATGCCCCAACGCATGAGCGCTCAAATTGGTAGGCAATGTAGAGAAAGCAGCAACCGAGATGGACGTGGAACTTCAGGGGAGTAATGTTTGCACCTGATTAAAGAGATGGTACCCTATTGTGAGAAATTTCTTGCTCCTAATTCAGTCACATGCCAATTGTTGGGGGGGGGCCTCTATTGTGAGAAATTTTTTCCAGATTTGTTTTTTTTTAAAAAAATTTTTTTCCAAATGCTTTAATTAACTTTACTTTTCTTTTTAATTATGTTTCTATTTATGATTATTTTTAATTAATTTTATTTTAGATGCCTTATCAAACCCTTATTAAAAAAACAGCATCCAGACAATTTTTCAAAGGGGTAACTCATGAGTGGCTCAGTTACTCAATAATATAATTGTTTGGATGGTACTCTATTGTGAGCACCAACTTTTGGGATTGAAAAAAAAACAAAACCCTTTCTCCACCTTTCTTTGGGTAAAGCTGGCCCTTTCACTTTAGAAAGCCATATTCGTGTTAAAGCTTTAAAATGCAAGGTTTCCCAAATAATTCGATGCCTTATTAAACCCTTATTAAAAAACAGCACCCAGACAATTTTTCAAGGGGGTACCTCATGAGTGGCTCAGTTACTCAATAATATAATTGTTTGGATGGTACTCTATTGTGAGCACCAACTTTTGGGAGTGAAAAAAAAAAGCGAAACCCTTTCTCCACCTTTCTTTGGGTAAAGCTGGTCCTTTCACTTTAGAAAGCCATATTTATGCTAAAGCTTTAAAATGCAAGGTTTTCCAAATAATTAGATGCCTTATTAAACCCTTATTAAAAAACAGTACCTAGACAATTTTTCAAGGGGATACCTCATGAGTGGCTCAGTTACTCAATAATATAATTGTTTGGATGGTACTCTATTGTGAGCACCAACTTTTGGGAGTGAAAAAAAAAGCAAAACCCTTTCTCCACCTTTCTTTGGGTAAAGCTGGTCCCTTTACTTTAGAAAGCCATATTTGTGTTAAAACTTTAAAATGCAAGGCTTTCCAAATAATTAGATGCCTTATTAAACCCTTATTAAAAAACAGCATCCAGACAATTTTTCAAAGGGGTAACTCATGAGTGGCTCAGTTACTGAATAATATAATTGTTTGGATGGTACTCTATTGTGAGCACCAACTTTTTGGAGTGAAAAAAGAAACGAAACCCTTTCTCCACCTTTCTTTGGGTAAAGCTGGTCCTTTCACTTTAGAAAGCCATATTTGTGTTAAAGCTTTAAAATGCAAGGTTTCCCAAATAATTAGATGCCTTATTAAACCCTTATTAAAAAACAGCATCCAGACAATTTTTCAAAGGGGTACCTCATGAGTGGCTCAGTTACTCAATAATATAATTGTTTGGATGGTACTCTATTGTGAGCACCAACTTTTTGGAGTGAAAAAAAAAGCAAAACCCTTTCTCCACCTTTCTTTGGGTAAAGCTGGCCCCTTTACTGTAGAAAGCCATATTTGTGTTAAAACTTTAAAATGCAAGGCTTTCCAAATAATTAGATGCCTTATTAAACCCTTATTAAAAAACAGCATCCAGACAATTTTTCAAAGGGGTACCTCATGAGTGGCTCAGTTACTGAATAATATAATTGTTTGGATGGTACTCTATTGTGAGCACCAACTTTTTGGAGTGGAAAAAAAAAAAAACCCTTTCTCCACCTTTCTTTGGGTAAAGCTGGTCCTTTCACTTTAGAAAGCCATAGTTGTGATAAAACTTTAAAATGCAAGGTTTCCCAAATAATTCGATGCCTTATTAAACCCTTATTAAAAAACAGCATCCAAACAATTTTTCAAGGGTGTACCTCATGAGTGGCTCAGTTACTGAATAATATAATTGTTTGGATGGTACTCTATTGTGAGCACCAACTTTTGGGCGTGAAAAAAAAAACAAAACCCTTTCTCCACCTTTCTTTGGGTAAAGCTGGTCCCTTTACTTTAGAAAGCCATAGTTGTGTTAAAACTTTAAAATGCAAGGCTTTCCAAATAATTAGATGCCTTATTAAACCCTTATTAAAAAACAGCATCAGACAATTTTTCAAAGGGGTACCTCATGAGTGGCTCAGTTACTGAATAATATAATTGTTTGGATGGTACTCTATTGTGAGCACCAACTTTTTGGAGTGAAAAAAAAACGAAACCCTTTCTCCACCTTTCTTTGGGTAAAGCTGGTCCTTTCACTTTAGAAAGCCATAGTTGTGATAAAACTTTAAAATGCAAGGTTTCCCAAATAATTCGATGCCTTATTAAACCCTTATTAAAAAACAGCATCCAGACAATTTTTCAAGGGTGTACCTCATGAGTGGCTCAGTTACTCAATAATATAAATGTTTGGATGGTACTCTATTGTGAGCACCAACTTTTGGGAGTGAAAAAAAATGAAAGTAAATTAAAAGTAAATTGAAATCAATTGAAAGTAAATTGAAATCAATTGAAAGTAAATTGAAAGTAAATTAAAAGTAAATTGAAATCAATTGAAAGTAAATTGAACGTAAATTAAAAGTAAATTGAAATCAATTGAAAGTAAATTGAAAGTAAATTAAAAGTAAAAAAAATCCATTGAAATCAATTGAAATCAATTGAAAGTAAATTAAAAGTAAATTGAAATCAATTGAAAGTAAATTGAAATCAATTGAAAGTAAATTGAAATCCTTTCTTAAGTTGATTGACCAAAAAAATGTTGGGGGGGGGGCAAAAAAAAGTGCGAGTTATAGAGTATCCTCAAATTGTTTAGGGGGGGGGCCCTCACACTAATCAGATGCAAACATTAGTGCTCAAAGAAACCAGTGTACAGCAAAACAATTTGAACAAATGCTTCCCAAGGCACATTTGAAAAGCTGAAAAGCATTCTTTTCCCCGCCTGTCAGGTGAGGGCCTCTAGATTTAAGAATACATCCTGCGGGCCCGGACCAAGCCCAAACAGTTCCGGAACCAAGGACCGGGAACCAAGCCCGAATACGGACACGATGCGGACAGTCGTCCAGCATGTCATCGCCTTAGGCGGCCTCCTCCAACAGGTAATGTACCGCGAGCTCGCCAGCTCTCTGAGCCACCCCGCCGAGCACTATGGCGAGCAGCTCCCTGGACCAGACCTGAACCCTATGGCGAGCTCGCTAGCTCTCTGGGCCCGCCAGACCCGAACCCTATACCAGATAAAATGTCAAGATATATGTCCTCCACATAGCATGTCAAGATACCGCGGCAGCATAGCAATTATATAGCGATAAAAACATATCAGAAACCGTGAGTAATCGTGAACAATCGGAAATAAACCGTGAGCAGTTGTAAATGGCCGAATCTTTCAAAAAAAAAAATGGGCGGTAGAAATTTGTGCGGCAGTGCTAGAAAAACCTCGGCCGTATAACTTCGGAAATGCTATAAATCTCGGCCATAGAAAATTGCTAATATTATATAGTCCCTTAACCCTGATATTTAAGACATGTCATAATATATGCCAGATAGAATGTCAAAAATAAAGTCAGGTAGAATGTCAGACAAAATGTCAGAATGTATATACATATGTACATTACATACAGACATATATGTATATTATATATATATTATTATCTATATATATATATAATTATTATATTATACATATATACCGTGGTACGGTGGGGATCGCATGAAGCAAAGTAATTCACACGTGTCCAACCAGAACTGGAACGCCCCACCAAAAAAACATCACAGACTTGATCACAACATGAGCGGGATCCTGCTACAATTGTTCAACTAAGTGTATTCTGTATGAAAAGAAACATCACAGGAGAAAAAACAGAAAAGAAGAAAAAACAACTGGGAAACACCAATACCACAAAAAAACATGTCAAGGTGACAAGAGTGTGACGATTGGAAAAACACTGGTCTTCCTCCTAGTATATGTTGGGAGATGTGCATTTTCCCACTTGTCCACACTTTGCATCTGTCTGTATGCGTTCACATCTGCTCACATTCTTTGCATTTGTCATTGCCCCGGTTGTATATAGCATCCCTATTCATTTCTCACCATTGCTGATAATCCCGCAACCCAAAACAAATTGATTTCATCCATCCCTTTTTTCCGGACCCTTACACCTGATTAAGGCAGCAAAAAATATCCTCCAAAGGACGGCATTCTGTAGGCTGATGGCATGTCGCACCAGCTCGTAATGTAGCTCCGAGCTCTTTGCATCCTGCCACATATGCTGCCCCAGTTGGAGCCCATTGAAATATATTGAAATATATTGAAATACCTTCTGAGAAAAATGGATCCACAATCCCCGTTGCTGAAGCATTCTTGATTGCATAGGTGCATGGTCCTGCATAAGTGCATGTTCATTTGGGCTTTCCACTTTCCACTATAAGAGTATACGCAAACACTGAAAAGGCTGCTGTTCTTGCCGTCGACCTTCGATACTTGGCACGTTCTCTTCATATTGGCGCAAAAGAAAGTGTTGTGTCCTCAATCTCGGCAAATTGTGTGTGTTGAACTCGGAACTGAAAAAGATCAGCATAGTCAGCCCCAACCGCCTGAGGGGGAAGTCTTGAAACAACATACACTGCTTGGATGTGCTTTCTCTTTGCTTTTCTCTTTGTTTGGTTTTTTCATGTTTCTTCATGTTTCTTCTATGATCTTATTCCATGTTCAGAATGGCAGTGTCTGGCAGTGTTCTGATCCATGATCCGATCCAAGCCTTGCGGAGCTCCTCAGAAGCCGCAATTTCAGCCACTCGCTGAAGAGCCAGATCCAAAGGAAGGCCAAAACGTGGACCCGGACGGATTTCCATTCACAGATATTCACAGGATGCCACAGGTAGAAGACTTATGGAAAGCTGCGAGAAAACAGGTCTGCCCAACATCCGTAGCATGTATTCTGTCAGCATGTTTGATGCTGTTCTTTTGACCCTTGTTGAAGTACATTCCACATAGAGCCGTGTTGCTTCTTCTTAGCACACTCCAAGTCGTGAGCCAAACTCCAAGGCGTGGGCAAGCTAAAACAGCAGATATACAGCAGGCAGGCCTTGAGACTTACCTTTGAGTCTTTGATATGTTTCAAATTACAATGTGCTGGACGACATGACAAGGTGTGGCACCAAAGGATTCCCAGGCCCAGGCATTTTAGGTGCACATTGAAGTGCCAGAGCACGGCCCTCGCCACTCGGCCTTTCAGCCTCGGCATCTCAACATCTCAACAAGCCAAGCATAGCGGCATAAGGAAACATAGCCAAGAGCCAGCATAGCAAAGCTGAAGAAACACATTTCGACCCATTATTTTTTGTAATAATATGATGATGTAACATGATGTAGCATGTAGTCACATGTAGTAGCATTCCCTTGTCAAATTCTTGACAATGTGTGTGTGTGCGTGTCGACGCGCGTCGAAGCCTGTGAGGTGATTTTGAGACACGGACAAGTTGCCGGGCGAAGCTGCCAAATGTTTTGAACGCCAAAGGGGTTGCCTGGAGCTCTTCGGAAAATCTTGCAAGTGGTTTGCAATCTGCAATGAAGAAGTTGATGAGAAACGCATTCTGCAAATTCAAGGTCCAACGAGCTCAAGATGCCAGCATCTCCAGCTACAGGTACGGTACAAGTATCAAAGATATGCAGCCATTGTTTGGAGATGCTTGGAGCATTGACCACAAGCAAAGGACTAAATGGGTGGAATACATTGAATACATGCAAACAAAGCTCAGTCCCTTCTGTGTCATTGCTGTCTTCCTGGTCTTTATTTTACCTTCATCACTATGCAGGGCGATCCTGTGTTCAAAGCCGAGACCAGAGTCAAATGGAGGCCCTTCCAAATTGCAATGAACATCAATGAACAGTCATCCCTAAATGGCCCTAAATCAAAACAAAGCACCGGTTCACCGGTCCTTGCAGCCAGGTGACAGTACCCATAGCAATTACTCCACCGCCAGGCCAAAATACTGCTTCAATCTGCAGGTTGGAATGTGACAATTTGCAGAAAAACAAGTTGTGCCAAACACTCTCAAAGTATGGCCTCTGCAAGTATCTTTTCACTGGTTTCCACCAAATTCTCTGGATCTACCTTGGCTTCACTTCCAGCTGCTTCGGCACATGGAGGATCTTTCTAGAAAGCCAAGCATCCCGCGGTTTCAGAAAGAACCAAAGCCAACTGCAAAGCGCTTTGTTGCACCTGCAGACTAACTTTCTCTGGGTCTTTGTGTTCATCGAATCTGCGTGTGCCCAAGGTAGCAAGCTCTATGGTGCCCTTACCACTGGAATCGCCGGTGCATTTTAGGGACATGTTTTCTCCAGCTGATTAGAAAATGGGCCGGTTTGAGATGGATCAGATTCTTCAAATTTCTTCAAACAAATATTCGGCGTGACAAGAAGCTCGATGTGGGACCATCATAGACCCAACATCCCTGGCCCGTAAACAGCTGTCTTTTTGCTGGTTCCTTGTGCGACGCACGAATTGTTTGGGGCCCTTTTTGATTTGGGGCCCTTTTTGATGCCATCTTGCAACGTCTTCACCTTTGTGTGTTTGAGCTGGCTGGGATGGGGCTAATCAGCAAACAGTGCATGCTACAATCCAAAATTGTTTGTCACATTTGCTCAGTGAGCTGTTCGTAACCAAAAGCGAGGGTGAGGTTAGCAATTTGTTCACGACCTGCTTTGATTGGGTGAAGTATTCTTATTCAGCTTTCGCAAAATCCGACGCGAAAGCGGCGTAACATTTTGACAAAAGAGGACATGGTGCGGAGTCTTGTTTTGTTTGCCAGGGCCTCAAGACTCGTGCCAATGGCCTCATGATTCCTTTTTAGCAGCTGTGCATGCGAAGGTTTGCAAGATATGCCATGGTACCGAAAAGATTGCAAATACCATACTGCACAAGAATTTGCGGTGTGTTACGATTTCTATAGACATGGCACCAACACAACATGTTGTTGTACGGGCTGTCAAATCTGTCATGATGCGGCTGATGAAATAAGCCTATCATTCGGGGGGGCCAGTAGACCTGCTACCTTGCTGTCTGGATGTGTAGTCGGTTCAGTGTAGCTTGCACTTCAAACAATTGCCAGAGTCCCAACCAAAGGAAATCATAAGGGCAGTTAAGGGCAACATGTGGTCAAAGACATCTAATTTTGGAAGGATGACATTTTGCCTCTGAAAATGATATCAGGGAGCGACTGCAGGCCCAAAATGTGAAGCTCAAAAATGCTCAAACTCGGTCAGGCAGGTCTTTTTGCTGGTCTTTGGAGTGGTTTGGGGTTCGGTCCCTAGCTGCAAGAATGACATGATCGTGATATGGGCCTTTTGGGGAGGTATGTAATGCATAAGTGGCACCAAAGACTGATCCCAGAATTGGTCAATGTGGACATTATATTTGCAAATGTGTGAGTATTGGAAAATGATATCATTGCGAGACTTGGATGCTCTTTTTCAATGACTTTTGACAGTTTGCTTGGTCTTGGAGGGTCTGCCGCCTAAAATTGTGGTTCAGGACGGGTGAATGTCTAGAATGTGTCAAGGCACACTTTGAGAAAGAAAAACTTTGCAAAATAGATGGAGTTCTGTGCATTTGTTCTTGCCGGACTCGCAGAATGGCCCGCTAGGCCTGCTCACTTTCACGGAGGCTCTGCCGGATGAGGTGCACTACCTAGAAAGAGAAAAACAGAAAAACTTGACAAGTCCACACACTAAAAACAAGCTAAGTGCCACAAGCACATATACAAAGCTGCATAGAACGACAAACCCCAAAGTCGTAAGGTCCATACATGCGCAACCAAAGCAGGTCCGATCCCTCGAGATCGTTGCAGCAAAACAAGCACCTGACATCAACAGCCCACAGCTTCGCAGAACAGCTCTCCTTGGTTGACCACCATTTCACAGCTCCGCTTTCCTTCTCTTTAAACCTCTTCAACCAGCCTTGTGTCTCAACTTGGCAGGAACTGAAACCTTCGTCTCAACCTGTGCCACTGAAGGAAGACCAGAACAGAGTGTGCTTGAGCTGCTTGAGACATGAGTGATGTACTGAGCATGCACAACAGCTTCACAGCGATTCACAGCTTCACTCCTTGAGAGAACCAGCAGCATTTTCTTGGCCAGGTGGTGCAGAGGTCAGACCCAAACAAATGAGTCCTGAGGATCCAGGCAACACAGAGAGAAACCTGCTCTCTTGCCTGCACTCTGCTGAGTCGCTACGCATGCCATGCGATGTCACAATGTCATCCTGCTTCCAATCATGCTCAGACTCAAATCATCGTGCTACCTTCATGGATGAGAAGGCAGTGTCACAGCATTCTGGATCTGTTCAGTGCTGTGGGAAGGGGACGTAAAAGGTTGCAGGAATAGAAGCCGCTTGCTTTTTTGGAGGATTGCTTGCACTTGCTTCGAATATCCAGTCGCAGTTGGCTTGAACCTGTTCTGCTTCTGACATTACATTTCCTATCATATCAAATTCATTCCACATTTCAGATCTTTTCAGATCTTTTCAGATCTTTTCAGATCTTTTCAGATCTTTTCAGATCTTTTCAGTATTTCTTTGCACTTCTCTCAGAATTCCACTGACGTCTTTCGCATTTTGGGGCCAAGACTGCCGAGGAGGTCCACGTCATTGTCCATATCGAGCCTCAGACTTCAGAGGAAGTGCAGTCATTATGCACTGCCCAGCAAACAAAAACTCGGAACTTCTCGGGAGATATGTATGTACATATTCATCATATTCATATTTATAACATATAATAACAAATACCTATACCAGTACCTATGCGTATACGGAGTATGTATACCTTCCCTTACATTACATTTCCTTACCTTACGAGTACCTTGCGTTGCCTTACTATGTATCTAATGACGTGACATGACATGACATGGCATGGCATGGCATGACATTATGATACGAATCAACACTATAGGATACATAACACAACGTTAAAAAAGAGCAGTGCTTTCAATGACAATGGCATTAAATGACATTACATGACACGACACGACACAGAAAACATAGCATACATCTACACATAAGCAAACAGGGCGATACAGCAATCATTTTGAACTTCCAGGTCTGCGGCTCCAAATCCAGCCGTTTGCAATTACTCTCGGCCATGTTGCAAACCTGGGGAGACGGAACAATACAATGAAACCGATAGTCAAACGTTAGCGCTATATACAACTTCACAGAATTTTGACAGTGCATCCACGGTGCTGCATCATAATTCTCCACCTTGCAAAGCTGACCGTCTTCCACAACATGCAATGCGTGGGGCAGTGAGTTCAGACAGCTCTTGTCTCAGGTCTTGTCTCAGGGCTGTGCAGAAGCTACAAGGGATGGCAAATAGACCATGAAAGCAGGAGGCTCAGCACCTTGTGCCACGTATGGCACGAGTTTGCAGAAGATGCGACACAGTATGACGCACTCACAAAGATTATTTATGGTGGTGCAAACATATTCAATCCAAGTGCCAACCGCAAATTGAGGAGTGGCATGTTGTCTGAGACATTATGAAACTGTGAAAAGACAGCTTGGGGACTGTGGCTAAACCATTGCCAAGGCCAGTGATATCTCACAGTGGTTTGGGGTCCATGCCAAGCGATGACAACCACCGAAGTACAGTGCACTTTAAGGCCACCATCTCTGCGGCCTGAAAAAAAAGGAAAATTGTCTTGAAATTTCAACCATTTTCAACAAGGATTTTGCCAAACTTCAGGGTCAAACATGCCATGTTGAGTCTATTGAGTCTTTTGAGTCTATTTAGTCTTGAATGTCTGGGAGCTCAATTTGGGCTCAAGCTGACTTGCTCTTGAGTCGGGACTTCCAGTGAGACCAACCTTAAATCGATGTGCGAAGCATGTGGGTGCGAAGGTGACACCGGGCCCTGAAACTCGCATTGCCATGTGGAGTGCTAAGCTGCGCTACTTGCAGATGGCAAGCCACCGATTGAAGCGGCCTTTTGGGAACAAACAGAACTTGACTGAAGTACACTGAAATTACACGTAGTAGAATGTATCTATAGTTGATACTTATCGATTTATCTATATATTCATTACATATTTAGCTGACTAGCAGATAGAATCGGTAAACCAGTGCGACAATCACTTAGAATTGCTTCTCAGTGATACCTGCGGGGTGCACTAAGAATTGCTGCGGGTGCACTAAGACTTGTCGGCAGTGATAATATAAGAATACACTAAGAATTAGAAAGGCCATATCATAACCATGCACTTCAAATCCCCAACTGCAGTTAGAATTGACATGAAGTCCCAAAACCAAAAAAAAAAAATGCTGTTAGAATTCTATCAACTCCTAGTGTGTAGCTCCCTGGCTCCCATTTGGTAGCGAAAATAGTGCCCCTAGATCAATGTTTCCCTCCTTCAGCTGCTGATTGTCTCGTTCCTGTGCATAGTTCCTGCTTTAGGTTTGGCGCGGGCTCTGGGGGCGTGAGCAGCATCTGCTGTTGTTTCTGCTATTCCTTCTGCTGCTGATTCTGCTGAAAAGCTGCTGCTGCAACTTCATGTGCAGGTGCCTGCTCTGCCAGTTCTGGATGCTGTTTCTGCAATTCTATGTGCTGCTTGTCTTGCTCCTGTGCATTTAACAGTTGGCGCCGGTTCCTGCTTTGGGTTTCGTTCGGGCTTTTGGGCATGAGCAGCATCTGCTGTTGTGTATGGTTTTGCTTCTGCTGCTGTTTCTGTTGAAGGGCTGCTGATGCAATTTCATGTGCAGGTGCCTGCTCTGCCAGTTCTGGAAAGGGGTGCTGATGGAAAACTCATTCTAAATGCATCACCATTGTATCCGCGTGGCTTTACAACCATTAAAGAAAAAATAAGCATAATTTTTCGTACCCTGTCGTTAAGGGTCGCCATGCCATTCATGCAAGGCTGCGATCTCTTAAACTCCACAAGCTGCAGAATCAATACTGTGGTAAATATGGATGTTTGGATGGATCTGTTCGATACATTGTGTAAATTTGGATTGGGTATTCAAAGCATGTCAAAACATTTCTCATCCATCATACATCGCCCATCAAATCTATGTATGTACATTTGGTGTTTCCCTTAAAATTGGGAAATGGTGGTAGTGATAGATATTATATATATATATATTCTAAATATCACGCATGAACAAATACACTATATATATATATAACAAAACAGTTCTATGTGAAAAAAATCTATGTGTTAGAAATGCGTATAAAACGATTCTGAGCCGCTTTTTCCCTAGCACTTAGAAATCGCAGATATTTGCGATGCAAAAATAGAAAAAAACTATCTGGTAGGGAGCTACTATATATATATATATAATTATTATATATATAGTAAACAGCTGGCACATAGAATATTAAAAATAAATAGGTGCCACTAAGAATATGGAAAATACATAGCAAAACCTATTCCTGGAATGTCATCCACATAGAATATTTATCCACATAGAATATGGGGGTATATATATATATGTATATATATTTACCTTATCAAAATCCCAAGACTCTCCAAGCAAATCGTTGATCAGTGAAATCTAAAGTAAACAGCGCGGACATCGCCATGCATCATGATGGTTTGATTCATGATCAACTCAGCACATCTTTACAAGGTTTATATTCTATGTGCATCGTCTGTGGATATGCACTTAGAATATTGTTTTCACCCAGGAAAAATCATGTAACTAATAGACCTATTCGAAAAAAACAATGATTAATATTCTAAGTGCTAGCCGGTTACTATATATATATGTATATATCTATTCACTGATTCTATCTACTGATATGTCTATGTTTCTTCAATATAATTTTAGATCTTCTCATCGCCCACATCACATATGTCCATTTTTTATCAACAGCTTTCTTCAAACATCAACTGCGCATCGCCACTTACACAGCCGTCTTCGTTGACGCACTCTTGGCTGAAATTAAAACTATATGGCCTCTGTGGATCCACAGGGAATGAGCAAGAACTCAATCGCTGACTGGAAAAAGGCGACCTTGAAAACAAAAAGCACAAAATGTTTTAACATGTTTTAATGGTTCAGTGTGCTGCCCTTTAGAGTTGGAAAGGCTTTGTGATCTGCGAGTAGCGCAAACCATGTCCAACATGCTCGGGAAAGACTGTTTCAAGCGTATCAAAGGCCTCGACTGAGTTGTCTGTTAAGTTTCGCAGCAACTGTAAGCACCGTGGCACCTGCGCGCAGTCGCTCAAATTGCTTGCAAAAGATCTTCAAAACTACGGTTGCCTTGAAAAAAAAAAATGTGGGTCTCTGAAGGCCTGGTCCTTCCGATGTCCTTCAGCAGCTATCTGTCCAAGACCCGGAATGCAAGTAAGGAAAACGACGATTCTGTCCTGGGCAGCATCAACAATGCATTGACTGCACCGACAATGTCCTGGTTTTCCTGGTTTTTTTCGAAGCAGGGCAGAGCAACGCAGAACAGGGTCCAATCCAGGCAGGAGTTTGCCAAAGTTCTCCAACGCGTACCTTGGGATTCACTGATTCACCATGTGCTGTTGTTCACATGGTTGCCACTCCACCAAATGCTTAAGGCGCCGACAGGGCCAGATTGATTTGCTCCTGAACAAGCAAACATCTGCCTATTTGCCCAAACTGCTCTGAAAAGCAAGGTGCCAGGTATGACATAGGTGGTCACCAAAAAGAAACTGGAATACGGTTTGTGTATGGCTAGTACATGCTGTAGCCACACAAAGGTGTTTGCGAGCATACATATCAGGACCTTCGTCCCTGTTCTCGCAGTGGCCAAAAGGACCATATTGCGATGTCACGTTTTTTGGTCTACACACAGACGATCACCTGAACACCAATTTGCGACCAATTCCTATCTTCTTTGGTCCAGCATTCAGCATTGACCCCTTTGTTGCTCTTTCTTTAAGTCAAGGATCACTAATAAAACAAATAACACCAATGATACTGATAGATCTCTACATTATTGCTCACATGTTTCAAGATCGTTACTTCTGTGATCATATTAATTATGGCGAAAATGGGCCATGGCCAGGCAAAGGTCAATTGCCCATGCTTTCTCAGGCGCCCGGATTGTTCCGTGTCATGATTTCACGCAAGAGGCTTGACCTAGAAGATGTGTTCGCGCTGAAGTGGCTGATGATAGTAGCACGTGCCACGAGAGAATTAAGGTGTCTTCCAATATTTTTTGTATCTTTTTGTATCATTACTAATCATTACCATGATCGAAGGAAGTTTAGAAGTCAAACTTCCGACAATATGGACAGATGAAAAGCAGAAATGGGAAGAGTCAGAGAAGAGAAGAGAAGAGAAGAGAAGAGGAGAGAAGAGGAAGAGAAGAGAAGAGAAGAGAAGAGAAGAGAAGAGAAGAGAAGAGAAGAGAAGAGAAGAGAAGAGAAGGGGAAGAGAAGAGAAGAGAAGAGGAAGAGAAGAGAAGAGAAGAGAAAAGAAGAGAAGAGAAGAGAAGAGAAGAAGAAAGAAGATCAAAAAAGAGAAAGTCTCAGAAGAAAGAAGATCCAGGCGCGCAAAAAGGTAGGAAAGTCGCGACACACCGTGTTTTTCCAATGATTTGTGGCTCCGGAGGGTCGAAGCGTAGGCTCGCTAAAGCGACGGGTGCGGAGCCAGCTGGCCAGATGAGAGATGGAAAATTGCACGCCGTTGTGGCTCGAAGCACGTGTCTAAATCAAAATGTACAAAACACACCATGTTCGGACCACTTTTGGAAGTTGTGATGTCGAAAAAGTGCACGCCGTTGTGGCGCGAAGCAAATTTCCAAGTCAAAACGCGCAAAACACACCCTGGTCGGACCACTTTTGGCAGTTGAGATGTCGAAAAAGTGCACGCCGTTGTGGCGCGAAGCACATTTCCAAGTCAAAATGCACAAAACACACCACGTTCGGACCACTTTTGGAAGTTGTGATGTCGAAAAAGTGCACTCCGTTGTGGCGAGAAGCACAGTTCGAAGTCAAAAGTGAAAAAAAAACTGACGGGTTCGGAGCACTTTTGGACGTTCAGATGTCGTTTTCCGTGGCAGGCGCAAGGGATTATGCACCTTGTCGAAAGTGAGCAAAACGTGAGGGTTTTGCGGCATTTCCTAAAACGATGGCAGGCGTTGGACATATGCAGAGGATCTGGCAAGATGTCTTTCGCGTGGCAGGCGCAGTACAAGAGACATGTTCATCAGAGCTGTTCGGAAGTCAGGGCGCTGATTTCCTGAGAGGGGTTGCATTTTGGAGCATCAGATCTTCAGTTTTGGGAAAATGATTTTGCATGACAGGTGCAGCACTTCGTATGACCTGGCTTCACTTTTTCGTGGCAGGCGCCATACTTTAGACAGGTGGAGTGGAAAAATCGCAAGACGCATTGGTACGAGGCAGTCAGCTCTGCACTCAACTTTCGATTTTTGAAGGACGTCTCGCAGAATTGCTTCGTTTTTGATGTTGTTAAGTTCGAAAGCTGAGGATGGGGAAGTCTCGCAGATTGTTTCGTTTTTGATGTTGTCAAGTTCAAAAATTGAGGAAGTCTCGCAGAATAGCTTCGTTTTCAAGCTTGCAGATGGGCAGATAGATAGATAAACAACTACAACAACTGCAACTACAACTGCAACTACAACTACAAATACCACTACACTACACTACTACTACAACTACAAGTACAAATATACTACGCTACATTACACAACACTGAATACACTACACAACACTAACTACACTAACTACACTAACTACACTACTACTACTACGACGACCACCACCACCACCACCACTACTACTACTATTACTACTACTACTGCTGCTACTACTACTACTACTGCTTTACTACTACTACTACTACTGCTGCTGCTGCTACTACTACTACCACTGCTGCTACTACTACAGCTGCTACTACTACTACTACTACTACTACTACTACTACTATACTACTACTCCTACTGCTACTACTACTACTGCTGCTGCTACTACTACTACAACTACTACTACTGCTACTCCTACTACTAGTACTACTACTACTACTACTACTACTACGACTACGACTACGACTACGACTACGACTACGACGACGACGACTACGACTACGACTACTACGACTACGACGACTACGACTACGACTATACGACTACGACTACGACTATACGACTATACGACTATACGACTATACGACTACGACTACGACTACAACTACGACTACGACGACGACGACGACGACGACGACTACTACTACGACTACCACTACTAACTACCTACTACCTACTACCTACTACCTACTACCTACTGCCTACTACTACCTACTACTACCTACTACTACCTACTACTACCTACTACTACCTACTACTACCTACTACTACCTACTACTACCTACTACCTACTACCTACTACCTACTATACCTACTACCTACTACCTACTATACCTACTACCTACTACCTACTATACCTACTACCTACTACCTACTATACCTACTACCTACTACCTACTATACCTACTACCTACTATACCTACTACCTACTACCTACTATACCTACTACCTATTACCTACTATACCTACTATACCTACTATACCTACTATACCTACTATATCTACTATACCTACTATACCTACTATACCTACTATACCTACTATACCTACTATACCTACTATACCTACTATACCTACTATACCTACTATACCTACTATACCTACTATACCTACACTACCTACTATACCTACTATACCTACTATACCTACTATACCTACTATACCTACTATACCTACTATACCTACTATACCTACTATACCTACTATACCTACTATACCTACTATACCTACTATACCTACTATACCTACTATACCTACCATACCTACTCTACCTACTCTACCTACTCTACCTACTCTACCTACTCTACCTACTCTACCTACTACCTACTACCTACTATACCTACTACCTATTACCTACTATACCTATTACCAATTTCCTACTATACCTACTACCTACTATACCTACTATACCTACTATACCTACTATACCTACTATACCTACTATACCTACTATACCTACTATACCTACTACCTACTATACCTACTACCTACTATACCTACTATACCTACTATACCTACTATACCTACTATACCTACTATACCTACTATACCTACTATACCTACTATACCTACTATACCTACTATACCTACTATACCTACTATACCTACTATACCTACTATACCTACCATACCTACTCTACCTACTCTACCTACTCTACCTACTCTACCTACTCTACCTACTCTACCTACTACCTACTACCTACTATACCTACTACCTATTACCTACTATACCTATTACCAATTTCCTACTATACCTACTACCTACTATACCTACTATACCTACTATACCTACTATACCTACTATACCTACTATACCTACTATACCTACTATACCTACTACCTACTATACCTACTATACCTACTATACCTACTATACCTACTATACCTACTATACCTACTATACCTACTATACCTACTATACCTACTATACTACTACTATACTACTACTATACTACTACTATACTACTACTATACTACTACTATACTACTACTACACTACTACTATACTACTACTACTACTACTACTACTACTACTACTACTACTACTACTACTACTACTACTACTACTACTACTACTACTTACTACTACTACTTACTACTACTTCTTACTACTACTTCTTACTACTACTTCTTACTACTACTTCTTACTACTACTACTACTACTACTACTACCACCACTACCACCACTATCACCACTAACACCACTCCCACCACTCCCACCACTACCACCACTACCACCACTACCACCACTACCACCACTACCACTACCACTACCACTACCACTACTACTACTACTACTACTACCACCACCACCACCACCACGACTACTACTACTACTACTACTACTACTACTACTACCACTTTTAGTATTAATATTATCTTTGATAATTTCATTTTCTAAAAGTTTAGTCTGTGAGGCCTCTCACGGGTCACGGCGTTCAGCGGCAGTCAGGGCAGAGGGCCACGTACGAAGCAAAGGGGCCACCAGCGACCTCCACCAACCCAGCGTTCGGGTTCAGAAACCTCTCGCAGTTATCGCAAACAATGTGTCTCCTTTTTGGCCGACAGGCTCAAACCACAGCTCCCAACAGACGTCGGGGTTGACCGAACTCAAAGGAAGGTGGACGAGCAAGTGGTTTTCAGCCTCTGCGACGAAGGTCGCCCCAGGCGCCTTGAAGCAACTTTTCAAAAGCACTGGGCTCGGGGGTGGTGGGGGTGGCGGGGGCGGCAGTGGGGTGTGCGGCTGCTGGGCAGCCTTCTGCACTTTTCTCGCGGATTTTTTTTTAGGTTGAGGCCTTTGCCTCGGGCGTCGTGGGCCACGTAGCCGGGACGGGGGAGCAGGCAGAGGACCAAGCTCCGGCGGCGGCTCGGTCACGTAGAGCCGGTGCACCCGGCCGGCCGGGACGACCTTTGGGATGCATCACTGGTTCCGTTCCTCCCATCCTCCGGCCAATTCTTCTTATGGCACTCCAGGCACAGGGTCCAACGAGCCAGTTGGCCTCTTCCACTTAACCCCCTCTGCCTCCGCCCAAAGCGCCACCAGCCTTTCCGCACGCAACTGAGCGAGGTAGGCTTTCCTGCACTT